CTAGTTTTCCACTTTACAACGTCAACTGATGGCGTCTAGTAAGCGGTGGTTGACGGAGGTCGTCAATGATCAACGGTAGTCGACGATATATGATGACGGTCGGCAAGGGTCGACAGATGTCTGCTGTGACTGATGACGAACGATGGTGGTCGATGGAGGTCAGCGGTGACTGGCGGTGATCAACGGTGTCCGGCGGTGGTCGACGTCGATTAGTAGTAATTGACGGCGATCGACGATGGCGAGGATGGTCTTGGACTTGAGCTTCTTCTCAAAACCTCAAGTTCTCTCTTAAGCCTTCCCCTCCTCATGTAAAGGGTAGAACTCTATTTATAGTGTTTTGGGTGCAATTAATGCAGGAATATGAATCATTTTGATCGGACGATCTGGAGAGCTTCCCTCGATCAGATAATATTTTATGGACATTTGAGTGTCTTAATGATGTCTGAATTGAACAATCTTAGGCTCGTTGGATTTGTCTTGTCGAGATGCTCGATTCGACATTTGTTTGACCTTTCAAATGCCTCTGAAAATCCTCCAATAGTGATTTAATGATTTGATCCGGGCTTGATTTGCCTTGTATTGGGCTGACTTTCATATAATTAGGTACATCTCATCAAGCTGATCAGTTTGACTATAAGTTTGTTGAAATTGGAGCTCCGGATGACTCTTAATTAAAGTTTGAATGTTTTTTGTTCAAAAAATTGCACCTAGATTTGTGCCGGATGATGAAAATTTGTTGGTGGCGAATCAATACATATTGAAGTAACATATTGAAGTTAGTTGTTTGATCTATCAAGTTTGAAATTGTTGATAATTTTTAGTGACTTTTATGACCTTCCCATTAGGGCTCATAAACATATGCTATTAAATTGTAGAATTCCATAGCTTCATTTAGTTTTTCCTTACTCTAATAACTATTCATGTCCTTCAAATTTCTTAAAAAAAAATTGATGGAGTATATGCATTTCCAATCACATTGATATAAGGATTAACTCAAAATACATTTTTTGATGTTGACTCCTAATAAGAATGTCTACCTTTTAGGGTCTATTTGGGGCAGGTGTAACTTATTGAATAATCTGCTGATAAACTGATTAAAAATAATCTGATGATAAGCTAGGAGCGGGCGTTTTCAAAACGCCACCGCACAAAATAAGCTGCCCCAAACGGGCCCTTAATAATTTACCTTTGGCATACCATACTTATAATAGTCTAATGTTAATCATTTATTGGTATACATGAACTATAGCCTCCTCAATGCATCTATATTTCTTCTCTTCACGTTGACATTTGATCATATTTAATGAAATGTTCTCTTAAGAATGGGAAATTGATATAACTCACTACAACATTAATATCAAAATAATATTAATATTTATACACTTTAAACAATGACACATCAAGCATGACCGCTAATCATTTCTTGTATACTAAATAAAAAATATCTATTAAAAAAAGTAACGTCAAATTAAAGGTCTGTTTAAGGTGGCTACAATTTTTTAAAAAGATGATTGTAAAGTTGTGGTGTAGAAAACAATTTCTTAAATTGTAAAGTTGTGGAGCAGAAAATGAGAAATCTTTGCATACGTAAGACGTACGCAGAGTTGCGTACATATTAGGTTATTAGCAGGGTACATGTATGTTACACTTAAGTTATACGTTTGTAATTCTTCTTGTAACATAAGTGTAACATGTCTGTACCCTGCGGATAACCTAATATGTACGCAACTCTGCGTTCGTCTTACGTATACAAATATTTCTCGTAGAAAACGACTTCTTTCTTATCACATCAAAATATTATTATTCTAAATTTCAAAAAGTGAAATACATATTTTTTTCATAGATAGGTGACATATATGTAAGTGGAGTGATTTACATAAATAATATATTTTGTACCCTCTTATTATTATTTTTTTTATTTATTGAAATTTATTCTGGATGCTATTTCATTTACATAAATATCACGCAATTCGTATATATTTACATATATAACACCTAAACTAAACTTTGGTATGTTACACTTGTAATATAAGTGCAACATACATTTACCCTGCGAATAACCTAATATGTACGCAACTCTGCGTGCGTCTTATGTATACAAATATTTCTCGTAGAAAACAACTTCTTTCTTATCACATCAAAATATTATTATTCTATCTTTCAAGAAGTGAAATACACATTTTTTTCATGGATAGGTGGTATATATGTAAGTGGAGTGATTTACATAAATAACATATTTTGTACCCTCTTATTAATATTTTTTTATTTATTAAAATTTATTCTGCGATGATGCTATTTCATTTATATAAATATCACGCAATTCATATATATTTACATATATAACACCTAAACTAAACTTTTCTTTTACTTTTATACCAACCCAAATCTTTCATATCAAATCAAAATTATCATTATTTTAACTTTTTTAAATATAAATTACACATTTTTCATATATATAGGTGGTATAAATGTAAAACTTAGAAGATTTTGGGCTCGATACAGTACACAAAATCTAACAGAAATTATTCAGATTATTTAGAATAATTTTGATTTACTAGTTGTTTTTTGGCAGGCAGTTGAGCAATATTTGGCTCCACATTTAACAAGAAATAAAAATGTATTCTTTTCAAAAATTAAAAACAGAATTAAAATGTCAATAAGTAAAGTGCAGCTTGGCAGCTAGCTGTCACGGACAAATAGTCCCACATTGGCTAGGTGTAGGGCCGAAAAGCAGTATTTAAGTCCTGGGCTGTCCACCACCCATAAGGGCTCTTTTGGGAGGTGACAAGTGGTATCAAAGCAGATTACTGTCTGCCAGGTGTGTGGACTCTCCATGGTCCAGTGGGACCCTCGGTGGAGCCGATCCGTGACGAGGGC